ATATATATATATATATATATATATATATATATACATTTTAACATTATAGGCCTAGATGACATTTACTTTATTTTTAAAAATAGGCCTAATATTAAAGATATTTATGTGTGTATTATGCCTATATGGTATTTTAGGCTATATTTTGTACTACTGATATGCGATTACCATGTTACTAGCCAAGTATGAGGATGATGGTCGGCAAGAAACCCTAAAATTTGGCGTGGCATTGAGTTTAAATAAATGAATAATTATCGACCGATAGACCTCGATTACAAATCTCATTGTGCTTAATATAGGATAACATTGTTTGTATTCACTAATATCTATATCATGCGTTGTCTAAATATTGGCAAATTTCATATAACTGCAATCTTCCCAACACAAACACAATTTATTGAAATACTTTCGAATTATTACTCATGTGCCTCCTTACCTTAGTACTTCTAGGAACAAAATGTCATAGTTTAAAGAGAGAACCACGCTTTTTTTCTTAAATTTATTACAAACATCCGCAATATGAAGTTTCCAAGATAAACAGTTATCAGTCTAAAAACCAACAGAGTTAGGCCTTGAGATGAACTTCCGTTACCTAAATTAGTAATAGTTAATGAACCGTGAATAATGGATAACTTTAATTTTAGAATGACAAATCATATTACAATATTACCAATTTCGCGAAAAAAACAAAACAAAAAAATAAACCAAAACCGACAGCATAGACGTACGAAAAAGTATGGGTTTGTAGGGCATGTGCGTAGCCCCGACCCTGTTCTTATGTCAAAGTTTGATTGGAACTCGCGAAAGTTACATTGCAGTAGAGAAGCATAAAAAGGGTTCCAGTTGGATTTAAACCAGCGCTACCGTTCCGACGTCCTTCTATTGCGCAAAACCACAAAATATAATCTTTAAGTTACAGGCACTCTCCAATTCGAGACCATTCTAATTCCGAGACCACATTTCCAAAGACACAAATAACAACCTTTTAACACAAAGCTAGCCCTCTAATTGGAGACAAACCCTGCGATTACCCCATATTTCCTAAGCGTGGTCTAAAATTGGAGGGTGAACTGTACTTAAAATATTTTTGGACTTCACTTGCAATGAAGACATGAAACAATATTATCTGAATTATATTTATTATCGACAAGCTTGCAAACATTTCTGGAAAAAGGTGAATTGTTCCTCATTTTTTTGTAAATCAAATACAGTATACCATAGGGCTTTCTACTAAGCCACGCCCCTTGGATATTGTTGTTAAAGTCACACAAAACGACAGTGTTGAAACATACGCGAACATGTGCGTTTGTGGGACAACACACGTGCTCGTTCGACACGCGCGTATCCCTAGCGCTGTTGTAATTGGTTAGTTAAGTTTGATTGACACTGCGGGAAAGTCCATTCTGATCTACTGTCTACTGTATTCTAAAGAGTGTGCACTAAAATATAATTAAAAAAAAAAAAAACTTCACCGATAAAATTTCTATAAACAAAACATCTAGCATGCAAAGAGAAAATATCTTAAGGAAAAAATATGTATAAAATGGGATACAGTTTTTCTACGCAGGTTAAATCTAATCGAACTGTTGGTGGTACACCCAAACCTGGGGTAGACATACAGCACTATGAAAAAATACATGGAAGAAAAACACTTATATAATGATAAATTATACTACACGGCTTATACACATTCGATGATGAACCTATTTACTTTGCATGTTAAAATCACACCTGTACAAAACATTAACATACATTTATGTATAATTGTGATAAGGGGTAAATATCAACTGCGTGGTTTATATATAATAAGCATTTAGGCTTTGATATCCCTGCTTTAGGATAATAATTATTTTACAAGTTAAACAAGCAATGGGTTTTATACACTGCAGGAATTCAAATGAAAGGTACTGTATAGTGTTAATAAATACTGTTATATAGTAGTATTTAAATTATCATTCAACTCAATTGAACTATATTGTATCAAAATTAGTGAATATTGCTTTAGCTTTATTCTACAAACTTTCTACACCTTGGCAAAAATGAACTTTAGATGAGTAAAAACAGGTTTTAACTTTTCCACTAAGCCCTGCCCCTTGAATACTGTTGCTAACGTGTACAACATTAACCAATGTAAACATTCATAAACTTGCATGCTCGCGAGACATGTGCAAATACCTGGCTACTAAACAGTCCGGAAATGTCCAAATGGTGCTTTCTGCAACTGAACAGGTAAAGCTCTGACTGCACTTATCATGTTTCATGTGATAATTATGCATGGTTACAACATATGGACATAATAATGTCATACAACACACAAACATATGTGCAAATCACACGCATTCGTCACAAAAAACCTCATAGTGGGAACAGAGCTTGGGAGGTTCGCTTGAGCAGATCTGAATTAAGCAATTGAAATTATAAATTTGATAAAAGACAAAAATATATCTAAATACTTCAGATGACTATGTTACAAATTTTAGCTGATTTAACATAATAATGCTAATCTTTACTTACTAGGGCGGAAAAATTAGAGGTATGAGCAATATCAATCTCTTGAAGTGGAGTTATACACCTTTGGAAGGTTTGAATCTCACACCGAACATCAGTGGGTGGAATTACAACTGAAAGTTTAATCAATAAATACTTGTGGTAAAAAAAACAACATGAAGACCCAATTAAAAAAAAACTCATTAATAGGAAAGGCAAGTGTGTGTCAATTGTTATATTGCCACCTATTGGTGACATCTTAATGCAAATTGACCCACCGAGACTAGTTGATATGGGTGGGGCAACATGCAAATGTGCATTTTCAGGTTCCATATCAGAGTGTTTCCTTACCACTTCTTAAACTCTATCCAGATTATCAAATTTTCTTTGACAAAAAAAAAACACTGTTGTATGCCCATATATAGCCATGATGTGCCTATATATAGTCATGATGTGATGTCATCATGACCATATTTAGGCATGTCACCCTTTTTCTTATCAAATAAAATTTTAGTCTGGAGAGTGCTTTAAAACTTATATTTGAGAACATCTGGATGAGAACATCTGGATAAGTGGACATCTCAGCTAGGTTTTGGTTTACCAAATTATGCAGGTAACGAAAGTTTGTTGCCTTTCAAAACTGAAAAAAAAATTTGAAATTTACAATCAGAACACAAAAAATACTTTAATTAAATACAGTTTAGAAAAAGTATAGGATGAACTTTTTACAATAACACTTCAGCATCTTTATAATTGGATTTTACACTTTTTTAAAATCACAGAATTGAGATTTTTATTTTTTGACTAGCATAAAAGAATGCTGCTGATAACAGCAAATGACATTGACTTAATAAGTAGACCTACCTTTGTGGATTAAGTCACCAAGGGTTGAACTAAGGTAGGGTGAATGAAACCTTTTGTCAGTTTTTAATACAACTGAAACCTATTGTGTCTGGTCACGGTTGATTAACTTTAGGCTAAATTCCTAATTCAAACTGGGGATCTTGAGGTACAGTATGTCTACGTGTACTTAGGTACAATCCACATCATTTTATTCAATATATGCAGGTGCGGATCCAGAGACGGGAATTCCCCCTGATACTGTATGTGTATTAAATAGAAAGCTCAAATTTATGTATATAACATTGGACACACATAAATAATTATAATACCTTACACTATAGAAGTATTTTGTTGTGTACTGTAGTTACCAATAAAGATACAATAATTTAAAAATATCATTGACATTTTGCCATCAAATGTTCCTATATCAGATAATGACAATTCTGTGAACCTACCTTTAGTAATGTACAAATAGAAGAAGTCACAATACAATATTGTTTGCACACAGCCGGCTACGATGGCAATCAGGTCAAAGAAGCCCTCAAAATAGTACCTATACACCCAATTGATAATGTACAGGGCACGGTAGGCGCCAAGAGCAAATAAGTAATGGCTGGTAATGGTCTCTGCTTCGCCCGTCTTGCTGATCATGAACAGTTGTGGCAGGATGGCTACTGATTCCAAGTAAATTGAGAATGTCCACAAAATCTGGAGACAGAATTTTAAAATTAACTTCAAAATGCAGAGTAAAGAAAACACAATCTCTGAATCCAGGCAAAAATGACAGAAAGATTCAATCCTAAAAATAAAAAATTCTAGAAATCATCCCTGTTACTACGAGACAGACAAATAAACTGTCAATAAAAAAAAAAACATTCTCTTCCTTCAGTTAATGACTCACTACCTGCAGGATGGAAGTGATGTTTTATGAACGATGCCCCTTTATGAGGGTTAATGTTGTGGAGCTGTTTAACAAAACATAATGTAGGATTTGAGCTCAGGAATCCTATATTGGAAGGCAGGCATCTTAACCACCAGGATTTTTTTCTTATGACTAAAAGAACTCCTGAATGATCATTTTTATTATTTCAGCGCAAATAATGGAACTAATTTGCTGCATTAGGGCCCATGTGCACGTTAAAGAACATAGTACACTCTTAGGAAAAGAGTAGGGGATTGTCTGCCCGTGTACTACTTAATCACCACCAGAAGGACCCCACTTTCATTGGTTATTCTTGATGTTTACACTGAATAAACCCATCCATCCATTCATAACATGTACTTCCGCACCCCCATCTGAGCCTACTGTACGCCCATGCTAAGTGTAATAAAGAGACAAAGGAAACCACTTGCTGTTGGAATAGAAAAAACAAACAAAAAAACAAAAATTTGCATACACTATCCAGTGTTCTCCCAATTGTAACATTTATACCTTGGTAAATCTGTCCATAATAAATTGGCTACTGAATGTGCAGTGTGTGATGTTACCTCTTTTGAGTGGTGGTTAACGTCTTGAAAAAAACAACAACATATACAGGCTTAGCCTAGGCACAGACTGGAATGATGTTGATTTATTGAAAGTAGGCCAGCCTACACTACCTAGGACTAATCAGTGGTTTTGTTATTTTGCAAATAAATTTTTTACTTGTTGGCCAGTTATTTTTACCAGTAAACTTGACGGCTATACGACTTTGGGAGACTACTAATTACCTATATTTTCAAACATGATGATTGATAAAAAAATACTCACCTCCAATGGTGTGAAATCATGATTGACAAGAACAGCCAGGCCTCCTACAGGAACAATCAAGAACTCCATTCTAAAAGTATCATGGTTGCCATCATAGGTGGCTTTGAACTTCACATACACCAGGTATACTGTGGCATAAGCAGCTACAATGTAGAAAACTTTCATGGAGGTGTTGTAAACAGAGATGAAATTTGTGACGAGATCTAAGTATCTAGTTGTGAAAACAAGTGCGAAAAGAATTTGGCTCTTTCCCGATATGCCTGTGGGAAGAAAAAAAAACTTAATAATTGATCATGTGGTAATAAAAATCTACAAATAATAATAATAATAATAATAAAGAAATTAAGATTCAAATATTAATTTATTGATTCATACTAAAAAACAATGTATAGTACTCATGTAAATATTTGTTTTATAAATAAGAACCATTGTGGGGTACATGCCACATAAATTTGTGTATACTTTTAAACTTTATTGTTAAATTTCATTCAAATACACCATTTACATTGGGCAACTCGAAAGTAACACCAATGTAAACAAAAACACACAAAAAAAACAGCATTTTACATTAAAAGAATGCTTAAATTATCATCGTGTAAACAAAAGATAATGTAGTTTTTATGATAATCCACCTTTCGGTAAATGAACATTAAACAACATTATTTCGTTAAAAATGGCTGAAATTTAAATAGTAGTATACTATCATTCGTATTGCGGTGTGAGAGGTGAAATTCTTGGATCGCGGCAAGACGTACTATTTATTAGTACTAGGCCCTAGTACTATACTATTAGTACTAGGCCTAGTAGGCCTAGCCTATACACGGCTAAAGTATGTACACGTTAGAATATCGGAATATAATTTAATTGGAATCCATACTTTTAACCAGCTATTTACTAGTCAGCCTAGGCCTACAACACTATGGTTTAAAAACACTTAGGATCCCGATTAATAACAATACTCATCAGATCAGCCAGCGAGAATGAATCAATGACAATGTCAAATAAATTAATTAAAATAATTGGCAGTTTAAACTCATTATTTGAAATAAAACTGATGGATATATGTAACTTATACTATAATAAGTAAATATTAGATAATGATCGATTCTAATTACAGAAGTAGGGGTGAGACCTAGGCCTAAATCAACGAATCATCCAGATCCTAGACCCAGGACCTGGCTAGGCTAGGCCACCTACTCCATGGTTCACCACTGCCTGGCTGACACAATGCGCGGGGACCAAGAAGTTCTCAATAATTCGCCGGTGTACCTGAAACACACAGGGTAATTTACAATAAAGTAAAGATATCATTCTTACCTGAGCATGATCTTGTTTTCCATATTTTAATTAAAAGAATAATAATGGCCAATAGATGAGACAAATCTCCTGTTAGTCGGAAAATATTCATTTTGAAAGCTTTCTTGTCTATCTGAAGCCGTATTCTATAACGTACAGCATGGATATTAGATATTGACGTGGCGGGCATGCGCGTTAGTTGATAGGAAGTAATGAATATTCATCATGTGGGATAAGACGTGGCAAACCTGATAATTTTAAGATCGCTTGTTTGACAGAAGACCTGACCTATATAACTATGTGAGTTCCTTCTATAAAATACAATAGTCTACACGTAGGCCTATATTATTCACCTTGGTGAAAAAAGGATCATAATATTTCAGGAATCCAAACGCGTTTTAAAATTTAATGGGCGCTATAAATTTATATAATTCAATTGTAGGGCATATTATCAAGTTATTATGTTGCCAATTCAGAAACTTTATTGTGTTCCAACATGTGAATACAATTCTTTTTATTCAGAATACATAAATAAATGATGATAATAAATAAATGCGCTACATAAAATGACACAACGGTCGCTGAACCTACAAATACAGTAAAGCCTTGTTCCCATAAAGTCGCTACAGGTGTGTTACAACTGGTGCCCTTACACACGCCATGGAGGAATAAAATAGAGAGTCCATCACCTCAACTGCACCATGGTTGGGGGCTGAGGTGAGAAAATTTTGAGAACAAGGACCTCCATGTGCTCGGAAATTGCACTCTCATAAATTAAAAATCTTACGGTTATTCATATCTACATGATACAATACAACAAGTATTTTTCTTAATACAATCTAGGGGCGGGGTGGGGGCGATCGCACCGTCTACACCCCCGTGCATCCACCCAAGCCAGACAGAGGAAGTGAAGCTACGAGAACCGGATTCTCCACTGGTGCCACCACTGATAAATTTTAAATGTCGGACATCCACTTGCAGTGGCGAATCCAGGAATTTGGAACAGAGGGGGCCCAGGGAGGGACTTTGACAGATGGAGGGTCCTTATACCAAACCAGCTTTTATTATTATGTCACCTCTAGATGGTCGGATATGGCACTCTCAGATTTAAAATTTGAATGTAATTTTTTTTTTTACTCCCATTTTTTTACAATTTGGAAAAATGTAGGGGAGTCACAGGCCGGCTGGGCTCCTCTTAAATCCGCCACTGTCTTGTGACCTGCAAAAATGCAAGCAGCAATACAACACGAGAAAATAAGCAACTCATATGAGTATCTTTGCTTGAAGAAATCGATACTAGTTGGTTGGTGTAGAAGTATTTTTTTACTTTTTTCAATCGATCCCATTATACTTATACAGTAGATGTAAAGAGCAACAGCATTCGCATGCTCTCTCTTGTTTCGGATTCAAAATAATGCTTGATTGATATAGCAAATTAAATGTATAATACTTGAATAAATGTCCCCATTATTTATTGACTTGTTTTGTAGGATAGAGGTAGGCTTAGTAACAACATGCAATATTAAGTGAGTCTATTTATTACCAAGACGTATAATTCTCGTATACGCCGTACCTGCTTATTCTGAATATATACTCTAAAAGAAACATTCGATCACACTAAATCATTCAAATTTATTCAAGGTCTATTGTGTAGTTTGGTACCACCTGTCACTGTTGTGAACTACTTCTGTTGTCGATACTTGAGCTAATAATTGATCTCGTTTTGTATGAGAATTTAATTTAATAATATGCATTTTAATGTAAAAACGGAATAATAGGCAATTGATGTAAACAATATAGGTCCATACGATATGGGCCCTTTTTTTAGGCGGTCGGTGGGGGAGGGGGCTACACCTACTTTAGCACCATCATGGAAGTATGGCCTCCATTTGAAAACGTGAGTGCTTGATATACTGATATTTTCAGAGGTCTTGAATAAAAGTTTTAAGTTAGGCCAACGTCATTTATTTCTTGTTTATAAAAATATACATGTTGGTTGAGGTTCTGTTTTTCCCCACACCTCTAAATCAGATTCTAATCGTAGGCCTATGGGAAATGTACTCACGATGTAACTACAATATTCGTAATTATGTACATGATCGAAGTATTCAACACTGATGTCACTGTGTAATTTGAGTAATATAACCACTTATGATGTGGACCCACGTATTTTGCAGCGCTTGTTTTGTAGTACCGAGACGAGATCGGAAAGGTTAGCAAAAGGTGGCGACTAATCATACTACAATTTTCTTTTTAATTTAACACTGTACCTCCTGTTTAACTATCTAAGCCTACATGAATTAACTTTTTTTTTATTTTTATAAGAACTAGTACAATTTTGCCCAGGGTCAGTGCCCAATTCCAGGCTCAAAATGTTCTTATTCTACACACTATTATTGTATGTACAACAGCATATTACTGTACTTTACTGTTATACGGGGTATTATAGGAGTAGATATAATGTTGATACATTAATACTTTACTGTATGTGACTAGCTTGATTTGTTGGTTTTTCTAGTTTGTTATTAAATCCTCATTCGACATTTTACCTCAGCCTCAATTTGTTCCTGTCTCTTATACACATCTAGATGTGTATAAGAGACAGAGGTATGCTAGGCACAACTGCTAAAAAAACTAATCCTAAAATGTTCAACCACATTGCTGCTAAAACTGAGTGTAAAATTTACAAATGAACAACATCACAATAATTCCAGACAGTCATCAAATTTCCACTCTATTGGAGTGATCCGTCCTGTTGGTCAACAAAATAATTCATGTGTTACTTAACCTAGTAAACAGGTTACTTAACCTAGTAAACAATTACATTTAGTGTTCCATTTAAAATTCTGCATGAACGAGTTTCAAATATGACAGAGGATTGCAGAAAGTTTGATTATTTATATCAACCATCAATCAGATACCGAATCAGAAATTTTGAATATGAATTCCTTCATTTAATACTCCGCAAAAAACAATACAGGGCATCGTAGATGTAAACAAGAAAAAATACAAAAAAGAAATGTCAATGGAAATGATTTAAGTAGCAAATACACGAATTATACAGTAATAACAGAGATGGTTTGTATTTATATAGAAGAGGTTTAATCACTATTTACATGAGCGAATTTTAATCCAGAAGATGACGCAGTACAATCATTTGGTAATCAGAAAAAAAAAATCAGTAGGAATAAACACCAAAATGAAATTGTTTGTTTCATTGTTGTGGTGTTTATTTCTACTGTTGATTTTTTTTACTGATATTTTTTCCTACACCTAGATTTCCAGCAGACAATCGGCCGTCGTCTAGTGACGCAAGCAGATTCCTCGATCGGCCGGCACACTATGAGTTGGACTAAAGGACCTAAACTTGTTTATACACGACATGGCTATGACCCGATGTTTTTCCAACCTAGTCAAGGAGTTTACATACATAGCAATTAATCATTATCAGGTGACAAATAAAGGCTGGTTTCCATAAAATCGCTCCACTGTCACTAGTGTTTTCAGTGCAATAAGTTGTACTGCGTAGCAGTCCCCAATGCAAATGAGGGAAGGCTTCCTGATTCGACCGACCAATCAGCATCACCGAAAGCTGTCAGTGATAGCGTGTAGCGATTTTATGGAAACCAAGCTCAAGTCAGATATCACTTAATCATACAGCGATACACGATTTATTATATCAGTACATTATGTTGCTGAAAATTTACATTTGAATATGAAATTTGTAACATTAACATCAATATGTGAAACCAGTTATTGTAATATACAGTGGCAAATTGATTGATTAGTAAATTTCATAAAGCTGTTCTAAACCTTTAAAAAATGGAGCTAAAAAAACTAAAAATTAATTACATGTTATTGATAATTTTGGGACGAAAACATAATACAAAAAGCTTGCAGATTTTGTAAATATACATTAAAGTAATACTACATTAGTCACAGAACCAGTTCCTGGTGGGTGCATATAGCACTCACTATTACATATTTGTATCATGCGAATTATAGGGAGTGTATTATCTGCAGACTTTAAGGTATACAAAATACAGATTTTGGACATGTAATATCAACTAAGCTATGAGATTATACATGAGAAAATGACAGATGATAGTTAAGTGTTTTAAGCTGCTATTCAGTATCTTAAGCTGGGCACTCGCTGCATCGTACGACGGTCGTACAACAAATCCAATTCCACTTCCTGTGAGCGCTGGGAGATGCGATGCCGTTTGCTGATTGTCGTTAAAAATGATCTGTTGTGCATGTGTCGCGGCGTTGTGTTCGCAAGAGAATTGCGTCGACTGGGGGCAGTGAGTGCCTGGCTTTAGTTTACATCGTATTCCAGCTTTCACTAAATGGTTTACAAAATGAATTTTTAGTACCCCTGGGTCATCTGGTTTACTTCAAGGGGCAGGGGGGCTGGTTTAAAACCAATTTCAAATCATTACCTTCTCTGATGATACTCTACTCAGTCTGAATACTGGACAAGGGCTAATTTCAATCTTACAATTAATCGAGTAGAGCTTGGGTGAATACTGAATAAATTGAGGGAAGGGGCATAGGGTAATATTATGGTAGAATCAACATACTTAAATGTATCAAACCCCATTGAACCAAAGCAGAGAACCAATCGGTGCATGAAGTTTCCTGTGTATACTCTGTTCATCTATACTCTTTCATGTCTGCAAATGGCACCAAAATTTAAAATTCTACTGTTTTTGTGTTTTCTTCCCCTTAATGTTACACCTCAACAGTCTTCAGTGGTAAATATCAATGCAATAATTATCCACTATTGTTCACAGTTGCAGGAGGGTTGAGTATTTTTTAGCCTGTTCCTCCACTTTCTTGTTATACTCATTACGATTTTGGCTACAATAAAATAAAAGAAACCGTCATAAATTATTGCTTATTGATTCTGGATCAAAAATCATGTGGGAAAAGGTGCATTCACACAAAATCCAATTGGAAAGCTTACTGAGCCAATCAGAAAATCGAATCAGTGTGTAAGAATCGGGATGCTGGGATTCAACGCTTCGGAAAAATACAGTCCAAATTTTGGTTCAGATCGGGTGTGAATGCAGCTTACTGTACGGTAAATGTTTGCTTGTTGATGTCGTTATATCCTGAGCCAACTCCTACTGTAAGCATATTGAACTACCATATTTATTCAAATAAACGCCACAATTTGAATAATTGCCTCCCTTGAATACACCCCTCCCTCGATTACTTACATGCCGCCCTCGAATAAACCTCCCCCTCCCAGAGCCTTGACAAAACTTACCTGTAAATTGTATAAGCTTCAGCTTGAGCAGGGTCCTTAACATTAGGGTCATTCAACAGATCCTGAATTCCTAGCAATATCTAGAAAATAAATAAATATATAACACATATTTATTCCAGTTACTAACCACAAGCTCGGTGGTCTAGTGGTAGACACCAGGCTAGTTATCTGGAGGTCATGGGTTCAATCCCCACCCCAATAACTATCACTTCTACACTATGATATTTTCTTGATGCATATTTACTCCAGTTATCAAAATTTTTACAATAAACTACAAACATTAGTAGTACAGTAACATCTCCCAATTATTTATCCAACTGTCTAAAGAGGGTTTTGTATGTAATTCATTATTGAAGATGCATTTCATCATTGAAGGTACTGTAACAGCAAATTGAGAATTATGACATTTTTGCAAATGTTTCACCACTGAGGGTACTAGCCACCAAAAATGTTGGTGGCATGCATGCAACATTCTTAGTACGCTAGCGCCCTCAATGCTAAAACAATGGCAGTGTGGCATATTCCCCCATACCTGCTTTATTGTAACAGCCGGTCTCCAGTCTTTGTCTTCGTCAAGCAACGACAGGCATACTGTTCCTGATGGATAAACGTTTGGGTGGAACAGGGGCGGATCAAACTTGCCTAAACGAATACACAAATTAAATGAGTCACATTCTCACCTTCAAATAAACCCACCTTGAATAATATATTTTACAGTGGAAATATTTTTATGTCTATTTACTCCTGTTTTTGAATTGTGTAAAATAAATGAACAAATGGTATGAGTTATAGATTGTGTGATTAATTGATCTATTGACTGACTGATTCTTGATGCAATGACTGACTGATTGGTGTTGATATATCAAGCTTCATAAAAGTTGCACAATACCCTGTGGCAAGGATTGGATTTGATTTGTTCAGGTGATGCAATCTAAAAATAACCAAGTCCTGAGACTTATTTCCGTTTGGGTCCGACTCCTTCTGGTGGTGAACGGGGCAGTACACTGGGCAACATTCCCCTATTCTTTTCCGAAGAGTGTACTGCATTCGTTAACGTGCACACAAGCTTTTAAAAATTGTATTCCAGCCGGAACCAAGAGATCTCCACAGTTCAGCGCATAAACAGTGGCTACCACTAGTTCAGCCGACTGAGCTAACTGCTTCTAAGTACTTACATTTGGGAGGTGAACTTGGGTAGTCATCTTTGAAAATCATTTTCAGTGGGTAGATGCCACCTTCCCATGGAGTCTGAGGGAAAATAAACAATTGATATTGAAAAACTTTAATCATTTGCACTTTTCTTGTCCCTGTCCAGACAATCAAACTCTATTTGACAAAAACGTGTCACATGCCTAAATTTAGTCATGATGACATCACATCATGACCATATATAGGCACATCATGACTGTATATGGCCATACAACATACATACAATTTGATAATCTGGTCAGGGCTTAAGCATTCTGCATTCATTTATACACAACACACATTTATTTTCCTGGAAGCACTCTCAGGTCACCTTCCAAAACATTGTTTGCTTTCTATTTTTACACAGTCTCCAGGACTATTGGACATAAATAATTTTCCTTTGCAGCACCAACACTTTGGAAAATATTAAGCATTGATCTTCTGTTGCTTCGTTATGAAAACTTATTAAAAACAAATTTTTTAACAATAAAATGCACTGCACTATTGAAACTGTAATTTAGTCAGTATTTCCATAAAATTATTTTATTTACTATTTAACAGCTAAATTTTGTACTTTATATATTTAAATTATTCAAACATCAACAACACTCATTTGGCTGCTTACCCCTTTCTTGCCTGGTATTGCTGTAAAAGAATAAAAACAGTAGATTATAATAAAATACCCCAAACAATTTATTCTGTTTTAATTAAAAGTTGAAAAAAAAAAACAGACATTGAAAACATGAAAAAAAAATTAGTAAAATGACAAAAAAAGCGAAGCAACAATAATGATAAAATGACAAAACCTGAGAGAAAAAAAACCTTAAGAAATACTGTGAAGAATTTTACAAATTGTATGGTTAAAAATAGAAAAATATTCAGAAAATAGGTCTTTACACTACTACGACAGTGATTAGACTTAACATTAGAAGAGAAAAAAAATTCAATAAATTCCAAGCATTTTGTGATAAAATGTAAAACTTACCACATTCCCATAGCATGAGGTTTAGTGTTCCATCAGCATTTTTTACAGGTTTAGCGACGAATCCCTGAGACATATTTTAAAAGCAAAATTTATAATGACATTAATACTGTATTAAGACTTCTGCCTTTTTAATAAAAACATAACTCAAGAACCAAGTTTTAACTCATCATACATTATTTACAACACATTTGATTTCATTTGAAAAGAAAGACAATTATAAAACATACAATTTATATATCTTTACAAATGTGTAAAAAAGTTTTTTAAGTTAAGTTTGATATTCATCGACATACAGTATCTTTACTTATCCACAATTACCTAGAAAAGATATTAAATATGTGTGTAGTAGGCCTATAGTAGTAGTAACATGTTCTTACAAATGGGTGGTCTTTCCTCCATGCTTTGCGCTCCTCAGAGAGGCGCGCTATAGCTATGCCCGACATTTTGGTTTGGTATAGTAGATAATCTAGTACCTGAAAGAAATGGTAACACAATGTGAACATTACACCATTTTAAATGGGTGATAAAATTAACAAAGCAAACTGCAACTCAAAAAAATAAGTCCTGTTAATTTAAACCAGTGAGAAATCTAACCAATTCATTCCCAAACCCCCACCCCCTAAAATATTTGGATATAAATTTAGTTTAACAATTATTTTTTTAGTCTAGGCCTAGTAGTAGTAGTATACTTTTACAAGATTTTTCATAATATAATGATGTTCTCTTTTTAAATTAAATCTTTAAATCCTTAATTAATTGCTAAAGAATGCCTTCATATTCCAACCAAAACTTACTGCTTATAAACACTACAATTAAATTTTACAGTATGGGTGCGCAAACAGACACAGAGTGACCTACAGTAGGCCTTAATTAGTAGCAGAAGTAGGGTCAAGCAGATAAAACCTTATTTTGCGAGATAGGCCTAGCTCCCCTCACTTAATCATGGAGCCCTCCATTCACATTCGCTTCCCATAATCCCCCTCCCCCATTTCAATAGTCAATAGACCCCTAGCCTACGCTCACTGAGGCTAGGCTAGTGCTACATAGGCCTAGATCCCATCAAACCTAGCGCTAGAGAGGCCAATTTAGTTGTTAGACCTAGGCCTAGGCTAGCCTACGTCGTACAACCAAGCAAAGGCAACAGAGAACAAGTAGAAAGAGGGATCATTCATAGGTCCATATTTCAAAACAGTTCCAAAGTATATGGTAGGTTATCTTACTGATTTTAAATACCTGTTAAAAATCTGAATATATAAATAATAGTCTTCGTTTGGTTAAAGTATATTCGGCAAAATTAAAACAACTTTCCTCATGATCCGTAGACAACAACTCTCGAACTCCTGTCTCTTATACACATCTTACAGTAACATCTCCCAATTATTTAT